GGGAGAGGAGAGTATGGCGCGATAGGAGGGTAGCAGACAGCTGGTATCCTCCTACTGCGCCATCCCTACCAGCAGTCTGCTACCCTCCTATCTCCCCATACTCTACCAGCTGTCTGCTACCCTCCTATCGCGCCATACTCTCCTCTCCCGGACGCTGGTAGACGCTGGTGCACGCTGGCAGACGCTGGCAGACGCTAGATCGATATCTATATTTTCCCAGCGCTGCCGGACGCTCCAAACGCTAGTGGACGCTGATAGACGCCGGTGGACGCTGCCGCAGAGTATGAACGCAGCCTAAATGAAAAACCTAGAAAGACAAGGTAATTCCAATCTGCCCTTAGTGAGATACTCATTTTCACAAAAAACACATGCAACCTATTAAATTGGTCAAATTAACATAATTGTTCAGATTTTGAGCTGCGTTCTTCAGCTGCTACGTTGCTTTAGTAAGAGCGGTCACTCCTTTATGGTACGTTTTCAGAACCAAATCATAGCGCAACGATCGAAAATCTCCGACCTAACACGCCGTACTTCATTCGACTACGAGCAAATGATCAGATGGGTCCAGGAAGGCTAGGAAACCCTGCTTCAGTAACGACCCTTAGACCAGGTTAGTTCATCGCTTGAACCACTAGTTCTATAAAATAACGGGACGCTATTTAGCTGCTCGACCTCTTGTCTTCATTGAGCAAGGTGAAGAGCTTCTGGTCGGTCCATTGAAACCATTTCGAACTCGGCTGCAACATTACACGAGCAGATCCAGCGCCAATTGTGACTTGGCAACACAAGTGAGTTTATTCGCAAAGCATTCCGACTGCAAAGGTGAAGCGCTTATTTTTCAATGAGCACATGCGACTGCAAAACGCATCACTAGTTGCTTCCCATCCTTCTCTAAGGAGAAAACGGTCATGCGGCAACCGCGTGCGGTATGTGCAAGTTTCAGAGCTGATGGACGGGTGTGGTGCCGTTCCCAGCACAGACTGGGTCATATGGCCTAGATATTTGCCGATATCCATAGTGGGAAAGATTACTTCCGGACGAATATGACCCCTCCCTGATTCCCACTCGTCTGGTAAGGACTCCGCTCGCCCTCACTGCCTATCTCTTCACTACGCTACGGTAGTCGCACCTATATTTCCACAACTACCTAGTAGCCGCCGTTTTGCACTTCTCCCGTATTCCCCGAGGATTTTCTCATATTATTCCCCCACAATTTTGCTGTCGAACAGGGAGAATCAATCGAGGAATTTTTTCCAACTTCAGTGACAAATACCGCCTCCCCTCTCCACCGGGGGATTCCTCCTGTGTCTGCTCACAGAGCTTCAGAAATGCCGCACTGTGCGTCATAGTGCTACGTAATTGTCCCACTGCCTTGGAAGGAGCTGAAACCTCTTCGAGAAATACTATCCATATGAATTTTTTGTGGAGATTTATTCCTCTCGCTAAGTATACTTCCTGTAAAAAGCATAGTCAAGCAGAAGACCAGAACCTTTCCCCGATGAGGCTTACGGTGCACGACAATAACGTTCTCCGCGTTTGCGAATTCTTACCGCAATTTAAAAGTAGATCCTACGCAGATCATTAGGGCGGAGTTACTTGGGATCACTACCTACCTCACTGGTTCACACCTCCTCTTTGCCATATAAGATGGCGAGATTCGCCAATGAAAATGGCACAGTGATTCGAGAGAGCTTGCCCAAGCGATCTGTGTGTAATGTGACTACGAAGAAGAAACACCCGTCCTTCTGACTACCGTTGACACTATTAGACATCACTTACAGAGGGCGACCGCTTAACAATGGAGAAAAAACAATGTTTATGAAAATGCATATTGGCGGAATCATCGAGAATACGATATTCGCCTGTGTAGCAGAGAACGAAGCAGGAAAAAGCACGAAGCGCATCAACATTACCGTAACTGGTAAGTGCAAAACACCAAAATAAACTGTTTCCCGTGAAAAACATTGGTTTCAGGACCCACGGCCCCTGAACGTATCCGCTATCAAGTGGACGGCGATAAAGTTAATCTGCAGTGGGAACAGCCGAGAATTATAAATGCGCCCATGGCTGGCTATGATATCCTCTACACTGATGACCCCAGTCTACCCGAGGAGCAATGGCAGGTGAGTGTTGAGTCTGGAGACAGCCTCCATTACTTCTAATCGGTCCTCCTTGCAGGTGAAGCGTATTGACGACCCCCACGCTACCACAGCAACAGTCGATGGACTCAAAGAACGTACACCATATACGTTCCGAATTCGAGGGCGCAATAGGTTGGGCGAAGGTCTTCTGAGTGGACCGTTCAACGCTACCACATGGCTTGGATGTAAGCTTGATTTTCCTCTTTCTTAAAGGCACGGTCCGGGATCAGGTATAGAGGTTGAAAATACGGCGTCGCGAGGGTAGTATGGACCGTGTCAACGAGGGTAGTATGGACCGTGTCAACCTTGCACCGTTTCGCGGCAAAAAATTGTAAGGAAGGGGTGCTATAGCAATGTAGGTTCAGTGACGCCTCCTTTTCTCCAGTGACTCCGCCTCCAGACTCCACCTTCCAGTGAAAAACGGAGCTGCAGGACGAAAAAGCATGAAAATCGTCACTTGTACGGTCGTAGAGTTTAGAAGAATCAGCTGTGCGGATGAGGGCGTAGTGTTGGAGATGGAGTTGATTGGGCACGTACAAACTGGGATCGGAATGGGGTTCTATCTAGGGCAGTTGGCATGTTTTTTCTGCTTTTTTCTTCACTATCGAGTTACTCAGAACCTTGTCGTCTACATGGAAACCTCTAATCCACTATCTGTGATGGGGAATGATAGCGGGCTTTGCCTTCAATCAACATATATGGACATCACTAAAGTTTTTCTGAGACAAATTTATTTCTCTGATTTTTAGACCTTCTCGAGGAGGAAACGTAATGCAAAATCATGACCTCTCTCTCATTTGAACCTTGACCTTTTTTCAGCTCGCCCGCCACACGTGACGGTAACCCCTGAAGATAAGATTATCAAAGAGCCGAGTAACGAGCCGTTGAGCATCGAATGTGAAGCACTTGGTGTACCCAAACCGAGGATTATTTGGCTCTGGAGCGGTCATTTGATTGAAGACGGCAAAGTTTGTCATTTCTGCTGCGAACGTGTTGGTGTGCTAGCAGGTTCATTGTTTTAGGATGAATTCCGAGTCTACGATATCACACCTATGGACGCTCAAGATCGCTCAACTAGTAAGCTTATCGCTCAGAGTACCACGAGAACCGGCGTGGCTACTTGTCAGGTAAGCAGTAGTTCGAAAATTATTTCGAGGAATGTTGACTGCACTTGAGGGTATTTGATCATTACAGGCCGTGAATGCTGAAGGATCAGACGAAAAAAGGACAGAAGTGAAGATTCTTGGACCCGGTAGTGCTCCTTTGCATATTCAACCTACACCGATGCATACTGGATTCGACGTCGCATGGCAGCCTCCAAGAAGGCCGAATGGACGTATTAAGGTACCACTTGCAATTACTATTAATTAGAAACTTTCGCCAAGAACTCTTTTCAAGAATTACATCGTCTACTACACCAAAGATCCAGACCTTCCATTGTCAGAGTGGAAATCAGAAACCGTCGATGGTGACCAAAGGTGAGTTCACCGCATTGGTAGAGGTCTTGGACCATCGTCATGGTGGTCGTGTGTGCAATGAAGAACTCCACAAAACCCCTTTGTACACTCTGCCTGATTCCACGTATGATTCCGTTCAAAATCAGTCAGAGACCGTGGTAAAGTATTAAGTTCGTCGTGAGTCCTACGTCGTAGTAAGGTGGCCTCATTCTGGGCAAAAAGAGAGCTCAATCACTCTCGAGAAACACTCGTCTAACCCCCCCCCCCCTTCGTCGACGCGTACGAGGCATGTGGTCTGTCAGACGACAGCGACCCGGTAGGGGAGGCATTTGAAAGACTCCCGTGCAAACATGGGATCCCATGACAGAGA